CAACAACAACAACAACAAAAATAGCTGGGTGTCGTGGCGGGCACCTGTAGTCCCAGCTACTCGGGAGGCTGAGGCAAGAGAATTGCCTAAGCCCAGAGGTTGCTGTGAGCTGTGACTTCATGGCACTCTAATAAGGGCAACAAAGTGAGACTCTGTCTCTAAAAAACAAAAACAAACAAACAAAAAAAAACCCATGGCACTCTGCGGAGGGCGACAGAGTGAGACTCTGTTTCAAAAAAAAAAAATCCTGCTTTGGTGGGAGTGCGGGTTGGGGGATGCATGGGGACTAGGCCTGGCTTTCATCAGGGGGAAGGAGGTTGAGAGATTCCCTATGAACCATCCCTGATTATAGTAAGGAATCTCATCCCAGATTTTAACTAGTCTTGGGGTTCCCACTCTGGAATCTTTCTAGTTCCACCTTGGCCAGCCATAAACCCATCTTCTGCATGGTCAGGGAAGGGTTACTGAGCAGGCCCTGAGGGCTGGGAGAGGGGGCCTGTGGGTCTAACCACTTCTTTCAACCAACACTATTTCAGACCCATCCTGAACTTCCACTTTAGGGACATCAGGCCCCTCGAGGTTCTGAATTTTCTGGGGACTCTGCAGGGAACATGGACTTGAGGTTGGCTTCTCCCTGTACACATTTTGGGGAGTGAGGGAAGGTGACACTAAACAAGTTATACTGTTCATCTTCCAGAGTTTTTCAGATCTCTCTCATCCTGCGTCATCTTCTCTCCTGTTCTTTTTGTCTTTACGCTATTTTCATTCCTTTATGCCATTTTAGTGGGATTTTAGGGCTCAGAGGAAAATACGAATGTGTTCAGTCCACCACATTTAACTGGAAGTCCTCATCCATTTTAAAAACATTTTTACATACATGCATATACATTTGATTATGTGCACTGATTCTTTAAAACATAGTCAGCCTTGCTTTTTCCAGTCAACGTTAGTTAGGCTTGTGAGCTCTGTGAACACACACGTCTACCGCATTTCTTTTACTGCGGTTTAGGAAGTGTTCCAGCAATTCAATGTACCACATTTTTTTCCCATCCATTTCTTTTGCTACATCTCAGAAACACAGGCAACTGTGGTCTTTTGATCAACACGCTGGCTCAATGCAAATTCTAATCTTTATTGTGTTAATTCTAAAGCATAACGTGTCACAGGGAAGCAGTGAGCTTCTTTACCATCTGACAGAAGCAAGGGCAAAAAGCTCCTGGGTGCGGCCTGAGAACTCCTGATGTGGAGAGAAGGCCCTTCCAGGACAGGGTGCCCGGGGTGGTGCAGGGGCAGAGAGGATGGCAGGATGTGGTCGGTCACTATCTCTCTCTGTCACACGCACACATACATTCTCTCTCCTCAGGGAAGGGTTTTCCAGAGACATTTGCCTGTACTCTGAATTATTTTTCATGCCAAACCCAGCCTACTGAAGAGAAGTGAATTGATAGCTGGGGGAGCCACGTGCCCTGGCTGGGGACTCAGCCCAAGGCTGCTCTCCAGTGAGTGAATTCACAGTATTCTCTAGAACCGCTCCCAGCTCTTCAGATGGAAGGGAGGCTGAGCAAAAACTGGGGATGTCAAGGGAGGGATTCAAAGAAACCTAACAAGGGGCTACGTTTCATCCTTAAATTCCTGGGAGACGGAGAGGGAGGGTGGGTCTCCCCCTCCACACGCTCTGGTTCCCTCCACACTCAGCTTTGGAGGGTAATGCTCTGGGTTACATTTCTGCTTGCCATTAATACAAATACGGAGAAGGGCCCATCTGGTGGCCCCTCTGAAAATGCAGTGCATAAGGGAAGGCCCCACCAGATCAACATACTGGCTCCATGGGTCTGAGGCCCTTCCAGCCCAATCCAGGCTACAAGCAAGCTTAGGACAACCACGGGGTGGGGGGCAGGGGCAGGGCAGGGCAATAAATAAGGTGGGGCCAAGGCAGTGGTTAGAGGTGTGGGGCTGTGGAGGCCCCAGGAGAGCAAGACGCACTAAGAAAGGCACTGGGTGGGGGGAGCAGATTCAGCCCCCAACACTGGTTTGTTGAGTTCCAGCCCACAGGCTGCTGGCAAGAATGCAACCTGCCAGGGAGGAGCCGGGCAGGGTCTGGCTCCAGCTTTCTCTCTTGAAATCTTCCCAAAAAGTCTGTTCCAGGCGCCAAACACTCCTCAGCGCAGGGCAGGGTCAGGGGCCTGCTAGAGCAAGTTCAGCAGTGAGGGCTCCCCCGGGGGTGTCTTTTGCCTTTGGAGGAGAGAAAAAAGGCCACCACACAGTGAGCAGAGGTGACAGCTTGACCTTTGAGAACGACAGGGAGGCCCTTCACTGAGTAGCCCCCATTCTCGAGGCTGCTGCCAGGTCTGAAATCAACAGGGTTAGGGAGGGGGCTGCTGGGGCAGCCCCCACCAGGGCCTGCTCCACTTTGCCTGTGATGGCAGGCATGGCACCCACCCCTCTGGGCTCTCATCCTAAGGGGCTAATCCCCAACAGTGATCTTAGGACAGGGGAAGAAGCAAAAGCACATGAGAACATAAGCGCCTCCTCTAGGCTAGTCCTTTCCTCCTCGTTTCTTAAATTCTGGAATTTTCTCCATGCTTTGGGCCACCCCCCCACCCCCTTATTATTGGACATTTCCTGAGAACCTCTTCAGGGAAGGCAGTCCACACAGACACAGAGTTTTACCACTTGCGACCCTTAGAGGGACACGTTAGTGATAACGGGACTGGGTACAATGAGAGCAACTACCACCTTGAACTCTGTCAAACTGCTGATACTTGACTAGGTCTGAGCTGCCAAAATGCAGTTTCATGTGGTTCAGGCTTATGGTCTGTCAATGGTCACATGGCTATGTGTGGCCGGGATGGAACTAGAACTCAGGCCTGCCTGATTTGAAACTGTCCCCACAGTGGACTTCAGGAGGCGAGAGGGAGGGAACAGGTCAACTCTAGGGCTAGAGGTGCCTCCCACTCCCTGGAGACCTGCAGCTTCCGGGGAACCACCAAGTGGGGAGTGGGGAGGAGATAGGGTGAGGAGTTCCTGTGGGTGGCTGCCGGGTGTCACACCTGGGGTCTGATGCACTCATGCACCTGTGAATCCTCTGGCCATGGAGGGGCCCTGTCTACCTGGGGATTCTTTCTTTTCTTTGAGACAGAGTCTCATTTTGTCACCCTGGGTCGAGTGCTGTAGTGTCATAGCTCACAGCAACCTCCAACTCTTGGGCTCAAGTGATCCTCTTGCCTCAGCCTCTCAAATAGCTGAGACTACAGGCACCTACCACAATACCCATGTATTTTTAGAGATGAGGTCTCACTCTTGCTCAGGCTGGTCTCAAACTCCGGAGCTCATGCTATCCACCCGCATCAGCCTCCCAGAGGGCTGGTATTACAGGCATGAGCTAAATGCCCGGCCTTGGAGCTTCTTTCTTGAAAGAGACTGGGGGCTCTGCACTTGCAGATTTCTCTGGCTTGAGTATGAGGGGACCCTTCCTGTCCCCTGGACAAATGAGGATCCTGAGTTGGCCAGGACCCGGGACAGTGGGTAGGGGGCAGGGTGGGAGCCTTGGACATTTCCCGTTACCCACTCTGTGCCTTGGTTTCCAAACCTATCAAATGGGGGGATAAACCTCCTGCTACTCTGCCCATTGATTGGAAGTTGATCTTGGAGGTACTAGAGAGGACAGGGCTCCATGGCCCTGCTCCAGTGGTTCTGGAATTTCCCTCCTAGGACTTGGGGCTGGACTCTGTTTTGGGTGGGTTGATTTGGCTTCCTCAGCAACGTGGCAGGTTTCTGGAGGGTAAGGGCTGTCTCACACTGCTCTCAGCTCAGGCTGGGCACATGATAGGCTGAGTGAGGCTGGACTGTGTGGCACACAGGAGATGCTGTTGAAATAGAAGTTACGATGACCAGCACAGAGATGGAGAAGCACTTTGACATGTTTTTAAAGCAGAGGATGGTCTTAACCACTACTGTAATTCCCAAGAGTGAATAGGGATGGTTACCAATGTTATTATGAGTCCCTTTCTGTTCATCGCAGGCAGGGATGGGGTCTGGCTCACCTCTGTTCCCCAGTGCCTAGAGCAGCCTTCAGTAAACATGGAGAGTTGACAATGTCACCTAGCACTCTCTGGTCTTGGATGAGGGAAGGAGAGATGGAGAGGGCCATGGGGGCAGAGGAACAGGTAGCAGCTAGGTACTCACCAGGGCCCTTGGGGTCACCCCGGGGCAGGGTGCCCCCCTGTGGGTCTGTAGAGCTTGTCCCAGTCTCACTGGCCAGGCTGCTCTGGCTCCCTGAAAGGTGGCTGGGTGGGCGGGTAAGCCCCATCCTGGGGGTCTCCACACTGCTGCTACCTGCAAGAGACCATATGCGGATTTCATACTGAGACAGGGATGAGCTCAGCCCACTAAGAAGCTGACCAAAAACCTTTGCATTTAAGAATTAGAGTGGTCCCTGTGGGACTGTCTGCCCAACAAGCTCCCTGCCCTGGGAACTGTCCCTCTATCCATGTGGCTGCCAGGCCCTGGCATGACCCCATCCTCTGGCCACTGCTGAGGGTCTGTCCAAGATATACTAAGGCAATATAAGAGGCCTGCAGGTATTGTCTGTAAGTAACAAGCCACCAACACAAACATTTCCTGTTATTAGGAGTTTTTCCTACCTTCATAGAATGGGGGAATGGGGAAGGATGTAGATTTCAGCTGACCTAATGACAGAGATATTAACTAGAGTCCTCACCCAAACATGGTTTTTAGTCCTTGCCTGGCCAAGAGAGCAGATATGAAGCCTGGAACTCTTTGCTCAATCTTTTCCTATCTCCTAGTTCTATTTGGCCACAGCTGAGAGTGGGTGTGAAGGGAGGGGATAAGTACTGTCACAGTGGGGAGCGGGTGGGGGAGGGGAATGTACACCCTGCCCTGAAAACCAAGGCAGGCAAGTATGTTTCCTTCACATTTTTCTAATGTAGAATCTTTAGCCTGAGGGGCCCAAGAAGTCCTTTAGTTCAGGGACAGTTTTTATCTCTTTGTCATCTCTACCTATTGATGCTCACCACTTGGAAACTGTACTGAGGAGGATTCTGAGGGCACATGAAGGCTCTGTGGCACATGAAAGGCCATCTTGATCAACTAGGGATGTCTGCCATGGTCACAGATGAGGAGCAGTGGTATGTGTGCCAGGCATTTGTTGTCTCTGACCTGGCCCAAACTTCCATTCCCAACCCAATCTTGGTCCCAGAACGGTACCCCAAGGTATTTCATTACAGTTTGGAGCAGTTATTACAAAGCTCTTCTTATGGGCTAAAATCAGCCTCCTTGAAGCTTCTTTCAAAGATTCCAGTTCTAATCTGTGGAGCAGTTCTGAATGAAGCTGGCTTTTTTTCCCGGAAGCTGTTCATGTGTCTGAAGGAAGGAAGAATGTCTTTCCTTTCCCAGGCTGTCTCTGCTCCAGCCTCCATACCCCAGGTAACCCTCTTTTATCTAACAGGTTCAGAGAGGTGAGCTCAGAGATGTCAAAATCAAAAGCCACTTTGGAGACCACCTGTTTCATCTTGCTTGATAACAAGAAAGAAATGCAAGCCCAGGCTCGGCGCCTATAGCTCAACTGGCTAAGGCGCCAGCCACATACATCTAAGGTGGCGGGTTCGAATCCCCAGCCCGGACCCGCCAAACAACAATGACGGCTGCAACCAAAAAAT